CGATTTGTCTTCATCACCTATATCTCCAATTCATCCAGTATTGAAGAGAAGAAAAATCTGCATTTTGGAATCTGAGCCCGACATACCTTCATCGACTCTCCTCAATTCGTGTTCTAAAAGTGATGCTCCTCAAAAATACTCGCCATCAGTGTTAATGGATATTTCGAACAGTGGGAATGGAAACTCATACCTGAATGAGAAGGATGGTTGGAGAGGATTACTTTCCAAGGAAACCGAGGATGGCATCTACATTCAATGCTGTCCAGATATAGAAAATCTCCATTCACGGCCAAGACTAAGTAAAAAACTACCCCTATTGATAAAGGGTAATCATTTAGCTCTCATTCAGACTTCTCGGGGTTTACTCAAATTTCAAAATACGTGCGGAGTTGATGCAATTCTCCATTGTATTCGGGCTGGATATGTGGATTGGGTTACCTGCAGAGAGTATATCAATCAATCTGATCTGAAAACTTTTGATGTTGTTAAAGTATTGTCAAGAAGGGGAAGAGTTCAACAGGTTTATAAGTTACGTTTCGAATTGATACTGACATTGAAAAAGCCTGATGGGAATATCGTGAACTGCGAATCTAATATTGGCATACTTACTGAAAGATTGTTGAAGGGAGAGCCCTCGATCACGACGTCGACCATGTGCAGTGATTGTGGCGAAGGGAATAGTAGAGAAAAAGTTGTATTGGAACTTGATCTGAATCCACTGTATAGGAGTGGTTTGAAGGGCCTCCAGGAATCTCTCGATATCTACACTCAGTCTCGAACTCCACCACTTTGTAAGACATGTGTTAAAGAACAATCCATGATAATTAGTTATGGGTCCCATTTATTCATCGATATTGAAGCTTTAGAAGGGAGGAATCTAGCCAAGAAGAGTGGATATTTGAAAACTTACAGGAGTAAATTCACATTGGGTGAAATACTACGTGATTTGCAATGCGAAACCGACTCGTATAAATTGGTTGGGGCGATCGAACATGAAGGTGGTACGGACTCAGAAATCCCAAAACATTATAAGGCACTCTTTCTACAAAGTCGTAAAGGCCAGGAGTGCTGGAAAATACACGATGGATTGACACCTAACGCTAAACCTCATAAGCTGAAACGGAAAGAAATTACGGAAGAAAAATCGCTACACATGCTTTTCTACATTCAGACCACCCCTAGCAAGCTGTGGAACAGTGGGATTGACAATTGATGTATGAACTTAATCTCAATAAATAGCGGTTGATTAACATTGAGTCTTTCAGTTCCTTGTCGTCTTGCCTTATTGAGAGCTTTTTACCATTCGTCCATCCCTTCCCTCCTTTCCTAGAAGAATGAATCCATTGAAGGCTTAGGTGAAAACCAATCGGATAAAGATCAATTCTCTGGGCTGACAAGATCAATTGAACACTTAATCCAATTCTGGTGGGAACAATATCAATTTTCCAATCAACTACTCTCAACTACAAACGATTCCAGATGCGAACCTAACGTCAATTTTTCCAATGAATGGGATTGTTACCCGCTTTGATCATAACAAATCAAGCGAATGGTCGGTTCTATTCCGATGGAATAAAAATCAATTCTGCAATCAACAACAAATGATTTCATTAAAAATTCAGTGTGAATTTCCCCAGAAATAAAATAAAATGTTCAATTTCCTTCTTCTTGAGAGATCAATCGAACATTCATTTCATTTCAATCAAGAAAAATCAACAATACAATAAACTACAATCGACTACAAACGATTTCAGTTGAGAACCGAACGTCAATTACCCACTAAATGCGATTTTTGATCCCCTTGGTCTCAAAAAATCAACTGAATGATCAGTTCAATTCTGATCGATCAAAAATCAAATTTACAATCAACTACAAACGATCGCAGATGATAATCCAACGTTAATTTTCCCACCAATGGGTTTACTAACCCCCTTGGGTTCAAAAGGTCAATTAAACATTCAGTTTGATTCCGATTGAGAAAAATTATATTATGTCACAGCGACCGATAAACTTCGTTTCCAACCTCGCTTCGCTCGGTTCAAACGCGGTTTCTGGTCGCTAGACATAAAATACTATAGACCACTCGGGCACAAACTTTGTTTTCAACGAATGTGAATACAGACCTCGCCTTCGGCTCGACCTGTAAATTTCACATTCGTCGAAAACGAACTTAGTGCCCTAGTGCTCTAATGTACTATTTTCTAATTGGATACTATCAATTGAAGAGGATATCAGACGAGGATCTGACGGTGTTTCTCTCTTGGCTATGATTTTCATCACCCCTGGACTGGAAAGATCGATGAAATGCTGAGTCCAATTCTGCTCGAAAAAAATATCAATTCTACAATCAACTACTATCAACTACAAACGATTTCACATAGGAATCGCAAGTCAATTACCTAATGAATGAGATTTTTACTCCTCATGGTTTTCAAAATTCAACTGAATGATCAGTTCAATTCCAATTGAAGAAGAATCAATTCTACAGTCAACTACAAAGTATTGTAGATTAGAATCCAACATTAATATTCCCAATAATATGATTCCTAATACCCTCGATCTTGAAAGATCGATTACACATTCAGTTCAATTCCAATAAAAAAAAATCATTCCTACAATCAACTGCAATCGATTGCAGATCAGAATTCAACGTTGATTTTGCCAATAATACGATTTTTAAAAGCATTGGTCCTAAATGACCACATGAATATTCTGTTCGATTTCGATCGAGCAGAAATCAATTTTACAATCGACTACAATCAACTACAAATGATTTCTGTTAGATATCCAACGTTCATTGTACAATGAATACGATTCTCAACAATCTCGGTCCTAAAAATTCAATTGAACGGTCAGTCCGATTCCAATCGAAAAAAAAATCGATTCTACAATCAACTACACACGATTTCTGCCAAGTTTCAAACTTCATTTTTTTGCGATGATTTTTACCCTCTCTGTGCTTAAAAAATGGATTAAACGATCAGTTTCATGTTTATTAGAAAAATTCCCATCCTACAATCGACTACAAACGATTTCAGGCAGGAATCCACTTTTTTTTTAGCCATAGTTGTAGAATAGTTCCTAACTATTTCACAGCTATCAATCAGTTCCAACTTGTGCTCCGAAAATCGACTGGACGCTCATTTCAGTTCGGATTGGAAACATTCCAAAACTACAATCAAGTATGAACATTGGTTCATAGGGATCTTCTTACCTTTCTAATTCTTTTCATTTTCTAGAACAACTACAAACGGAATCTTCTACATGTTTCAACTCTCTACCACCCTTATTTCGCGGTGCATTGATAATCTATAAGTACTATAATCAACTACAAACCATTTTAGACCGATGTCATTTGGCTATAGCTATCAATCAGTTCCTACTTGTGCTCCGTAAATCGGTTGAACGCTCATTTGATTTTCGATTGCGGAAATTCCAAAACTACAATCAACTACAAACGATTGCACATAAGAATCCTACGTCATTTCAAATACAACTAAGAAATAGTTCCTAACTTTTTAAAAACAATCGATTGAACGTTTATTACGATTCCGATCGTGAAATTTCCAGAAGTACTATCAACTACAAATGATTGCAGATGAGAATCCAATGTCACTCCAGCTTTAACAATGAAATAGTTTCTAACTGTATTTCAAAAATGGATTGAACGCTCATTTCAGTTCGGATTGGGAAAATTCCAAACTACAATCAAGTACGAACGTTGGTTTATAAGGTTCTGCATTTTTTTTTTCACTTCCAACAACAACTAGAAAACGAATTCTTTTACATATCTCAACTGTCGGCCACCCCGTTTTCTCGGTGCATTGGAAATTTGTGAGCACTACAAACAACTACAAACGATTTTAGACAGGAATCCGAGCTCATTCTGGCTATAGCTTTCAATCAGTTCCTACTTGGGCTCAAAAAATCGATTGCATGCTCGTTTGATTTCCGATTGTGAAAATTCCAAAACTACAATCAACTACAAACGATTGCAGATAAGAATCCCACGTCATTTCAAATACAACTATGAAATGGTTCCTAACTGTATTTCAAAAATGGAGTGAACGCTCATTTCAGTTCGGATTGGAGAAATTCCAAAACTACAATCAAGTATGGACGTTGGTTCATAAGGATCTTTGTTTCTTTTTAATTTTTTTCACTTCCAACAACAGCTACAAACGAATTCTTTTACATATCTCAACTGTCTGCCACCCCGTTTTCTCGGTGTATTGAAAATCTGTGAGTACTACAAACAACTACAAACCATTTTAGACAGGAATCCGAGCTCATTTTGGCTATATCTGTCAACAAGTTCCTACTTGGGCTCCAAAAATCGATTGGATGCTCGTTTGAGTTTGGATTGGGAAAATTCCAAAACTACAATCAAGTATGGACGTTGGTTCATAAGGATCTTCTTTTCTTTTTAATTTTTTTTACTGTTAGAAACACCTACAAACGAATTCTTCTACATATCTCAACTCTACACCACCCTTTCTTCTTGGTGCATTGGAAATTTGTGAGCACTACAAACGACTACTAACGATTTTAGACAGGAATCCGAGCTCATTCTGGCTGTAGCTTTCAATCAGTTCCTACTCATCAATTCGGTTGAACGCTCAGTTGATTTTCGATTGCGAAAATTCCAAAACTACAATCAACTACAAATGATTGCAGATAAGAATCCCACGTCATTTCAAATACAACTATGAAATAGTTCCTAACTGTTGAAAAAAAATCGATTGAACGTTTATTACGGTTCCGATTGAGAAATTTCCAGAACTATAATCAACTACAAACGATGACAGACGAGAATCCAATGTCACTCCAGCTCTAACTATGGAATAATTCCTAAGTGTATTTCAAAAACGAATTGGACGCTCAATTTCAAACTATAAACAAGAAAAACGTTACTACTATCACCAGTAGCTCAAAATCTACCAATTGTGAAATTTTGGTTCAAATCCAACCAAGTGGGGTCCCCACTTCACGGAGCTCCTCTATCCTTCATCCTCCAAGCCTATTAATACGGAACTTCCTCCGAACCTGTCCGTTCCACCAATTTTTCGTACCCACATTACCCTCACTTCCACCTCCAACACCTTAGTTAATAGGGCTTCCACTTCCTTCCTCCCGTCCCCCACCGCTAGCTCTATCTTCCTGATTATCAAATTCTTTTTTCTTCTCTCCCTCTCCAGCTTCTCTTCCTTCCATTCCAACTCTCTTAGCCTTCCCTCGATTTGTGGCTCCGCTGTACTTCCTTCCCCACTCCCCCCCGCTTTTTCTGTTTCCTCCCTCCTTATCTCCTCCACTATTTTCTTTAGCTGATCTATCTTCTCACATTTTTTTTCCAGTTCTACCATCGTTTTAGCACTCTCCTCCTCTGCCCTCCTTCTCTCCATCTGAGAATCCATCGCCTGTTTTTCCATTTCATTCATCTTTTCCCATATTTTCTCTTTTTTCTCTATGCTATCCTTTACCCTTTTCACCTCCTCCCTCGTCGCCCCACTGTCCTCCTTTACCTCCTTCAATCTTTCCAACGTCTCAAACTTGAAAGACTGAATTATTTTCGTGAGTTTCGCAACCGGGTCTTCTCTCCCCTTCCTTTTCTTCCCTCTTTCTCCTCTGTCCGACGACTCCTCCGACTCCGAGCTTCTTCTTTTATTGCCCTCTTCTGACTTTTCGCTCTTCACTTCCTGCCTTTCTCTCTCCCTTTTCCCGTAAATCCCACCAAAACCTGTCCCCGTCTTTCCCTGTCTCCGGTATTGATCTCTCAGTATAGCCTCCACCTCGCTCAGCTGTCCCCTTTTTCGAGCCCTTAATCTTTCCAACTCTGAATTCTCTCCCGACGCTCCCGCTGATTCATAGTACGATTCGTTCATTCTATCTCCTTCTACCTCCTCCTTCTCTAGATCGCTCCCCCCTCCTGTCACCCCCTCCAACTCTTCCCTCTGCCCCTTCTGATCACCGTCTTTCGTCTCCGCCACCTGTAGCGATACGCGAGACTTCTGCCAGAACGCACTCATTCTTCATTACCTGTGCCTCCCTTGTTTACCCACCAACTTCCTCTCCTACTTTCCCTTTCCACTGCTTTCTCCTTTATTCTCTGCCTGTCACTTCCTCTCCTTCCCCCTGACCTTCCTCCTCACCACCTTTCTGCCGCCGCCCCTTCCGCTATTCCCTTTCACTTCCTCCTGGCCTTTCTATCTACCTTATGCCCTTCCTCCGCCCTTTCTCGCAGCTATCCCCTATAAACTATACCCTGGACACACCTATGGTCACCCGATAACCACACTTTTCCCTCCTAACCTAAAACACGCACTCCCACACTCATACACTAAATTCCAGTCACATCCTACCACTCACCACTTCTGTCACACCCCCTTCACTCGTCCTTTTTTCTACCCTTATTAGCACCACCCACACACTCCCTCTTTCTTCCCCTATTACTCAAAAATGAGCAAAATTGCACCAAAATTTTCCGCGACCACTTTCCTACCGCTATATCCTCGCAGTCCGGAAACGTAAGTCCCAGAATGGATATGTACCATTTCTATTTTTTAATAAAATTGAAAGGAAAAGGTTTACACGAATAATCGCACATATGCTGAAACAATTTCACTCAACATCATATCAGGAAGAGATTCTATGAGGACGTATGAATTACCAAAAAATAAATAAAACCCCATTATTTTCCTAAGTAAAATCGTTGATTTTTACAAAAATTCTCATTTTTTGACATTTTTTTACGTCTTATGCGAATAACGAGAGAACTGCTGAGGCGATCTCCTCTACAAACTAATCAGTTCTAAGTTACATGAAGACCCATCGATTGCAAAAAAAAAATTAAATCGCTTTATTTGTTCAGGAGAAATCGTTGGACAAAATTTTTACCACATACGTACACACACACATACACACACCACGGATCCTTTCGGCGAGGAACGCCTTTACCCTCCGAGAGTTTTCACAGGTTGGAAGGTCCTGCAACGTGGCGTGTCCCCAGGTGGTGGATGGGGGAATGCTCGATATTGTGAACTGCCGTTCAGAATATAGGGTATCGACTAAATCAAATACGTCGGCGCGAACCAACACCTTCCGAGAAGCCCAACTCTAAAAGCGGTGTGTAGGGTGGGCTCCCTATAACAGCCTTACAAAGTTGTATAGTGGCTCTGTTTAACAGCCAAACAAAAAGTGTTGATTAGTGATGAGAACACAAAAATATCTCAGATAGTAACCCCTCTTCAAGAGGTAAATCCTACCATTGGTTCCGATCTGGTGCAAGCCCCGGTGGCCAATCCCGGCTCCTTGGATTCTGGGAAGAGCCAACCATCACACTTCTCAAAGGCGGACCACTTGGCCTCAGATACTACAAGTGGAGTGACAGACTCAAAATATGACTGAAATCACCAACTCGAATGGAGGATCGAGACAGGAGCAGGCTTGGGACCGTGACGAGAAGCTCATTGGAGATCTTCTGTCCCAGATAACGGACAAAAACTAGCGGAACATCAATGAAGGAATACGACAGCTCGCCAGGAGCATCCAAACTCCTGCAAAACGTCTCCGATCAATCTGTCAAGGTGCATCAGAGCAAGGGGCTACGCAGAAGACGAAAGCTCATGAGCCAACATCGAAGGACGTGGGATCACGAAGTGGGGTGCAGAATGAGCACCAGACCAAGAAGAAGAGAAATCACGAGTCCCCGGGAACGGATCCTAACGCTCTGAAAAGGTCTCGACAGGAGACCACACCAATCCAACCGAAGCGGGTGTCGGAACCGCAGAGGGATGCAGGCAAACACCAGCAAATCGAGCCGGATAAATATGAGGTTCACGACAGTGAGGGCTGGCAGAAGTGGCAGCGTCGAAGGAAGAAATCTGAGGAAGGTCCTGAGTCGCTTCGGCAAAACCCAAGCCGGAGGCGAACCCAGAGGAAATCAGCGGTCAGGCCAAAAGCACTGATCATTCGCCCTAAGGAGAAGGAGATGTACTCCGAAATCCTACGGGGAGTGAAGAAGGATAGCGCTTGTGGTGAGGCTAGCGATTGCATCGAGAAGATCAGATACACGGCCGCAGGGGACATGCTGATTATCCTCAACAAGAAGGAGACCGATGGAGCTTCCCAGCTACGATCAGCCATTGCTGACCTGCTCGGCCAAGAGGCCGATGTGCTAAGCAAAGATCCCCGGGAAGATATCGAAATCAAGTACATTGATGAGGATACATCCAAAGAGGACGTCCTTGAGGTCCTACAAAGAGCTGTAGGTGAGGAACACCAAATGGGTCCTGAGACCATCCAATCTATGCGCAGAGCATACGGTGGAACTCAAACTGCCTGTTTGACCCTCACGTCAGCTGCGGTGAAGAAGATCCTGGGAGAGGACGACCACGGGAAGATTTAGATCGACTGGGTAAACTGCCGCATACGTAGAGTACAGAGACCGGTCAAGTATTTCAAGTGCTGGCACTACGGACATCTCACCAGCAAGTGTAGGAGCGCAGTCGATCGGTCGAAGCTCTGCGCAAGATGTGTAGGGGACGGTCACAAAGCCAAGGACTGCAAGAAAGATCCGCGACGTGCCCTCTGCAGCAATAGACGCCCAGCTTACATATCAGCACTCCGGAAGCTCACCAGAAAAAGGCGCTAGAGTAAAGAAGGTCCGCAGGGTTTTGCAGCTCAACCTCAACCATTATGGGGACGCACATGATTTGCTTACGCAAACGGTGCGTGAGCTGAAGGCTGATTTGGTAATGATCTCGGAGCCGTATCAACATCTTGGCACTCAATCCTGGATTACTGACGCCAGTGGGAAGGCAGTAATCTGGGCTTGTAAGAATTAGCCATTCCAAGACACCGTAAGCAGAAATGGTTTCGTGAAGGCGAAGATCGGTGGAATATATTTTTCCAGCTGTTATGCCCCACCTAGTCTCAGCATTGATGAGTTCACAGACTTCCTAGATAGGCTGACTGTGGATGCCAAGCAACACTTTCCCGTGGTGATAGCTGGAGACTTCAATGCCTGGGCAGTTGACTGGGGAAGTAAGCTAACGAACGCGAAGGGACAAGCTGTACTGGAAGCCATGTCCGCTCTGGACGTGATCTTGCTGAACAGCGGGGATGAACCAACCTTCATGCGGGGGGAGGCGAGCTCAATTGTTGATCTCACCTTCGTGAGTGGTGCTCTCGCTAAGAGAAACTACTNTGTGTTCTTGCTGAACAGCGGGGATGAACCAACCTTCATGCGGGGGGAGGCGAGCTCAATTGTTGATCTCACCTTCGTGAGTGGTGCTCTCGCTAAGAGAAACTACTTATGGAGAGTGAGTAATATCTACACGGCGAGTGACCACCGAGCAATACTCTGGGAGATATGTTCTGACCAGAAAGTCGCATTAACAGCAAAGAAAACCAACAGCGTTGGCTGGCGAGTGAGCACATTCGATCCGGGCTCATATTCGGTGGCATTAGATGACCATCTCATTGCTGGTGCAAATGCGACTGCGAAGACACAGGACATTATGAGAAAGGTGATAAAAGCCTGCGACGCCACTATGACGAGGAAACGAATCACGAATCAACATCCACCGGTGTATTATTGGTGGAATGAGACCATCGCTGTGTTGCGGAAGGGGTGTAACGTAGCTAGAAGGTCATCTCAGCGTGGTAGGAGAAATCCTAACTTCCAGGAGTTAGAGATGAAATACAAGAAGGCACGGCGGAAGCTCAGCAAAGCCATTAAGTATAGCAAGAGACAATGCTGGAGCGAGTTCCTTAGCGAGGTAGAGAATGACCCATGTGGGAGGCCCTACAAGTTGGTGATGACACGACTCAAAAGTTAATCAATGCCATCACCATCGTGCCCGGTGTTCCTAAACAGAATTGTGGAGACGCTGTTTCCGAGTCAACCGGGATCTCGCCGCAATACTGAACAATGGGAAGGAGAAATTGTTCCGAAGATCACCAGAGAAGAGTTGATGAAGGCCTGCAAAAGAGTGGGAAACTCCAAAGCTCCAGGGCTGGATGGAATTCCAAACGTCGCGTTGAAACTGGCCATCCACACGATACCAGAGCAGTTCCTGGATGTTTACAACGAGTGCCTTAGAGAAGGCATCTTTCCTGCCGTCTGGAAGCAGCAGAGGTTGGTATTGCTTCCAAAGGGGAATAAACCACCGGAAGAACTTTCATCCTACCGTCCTCTTTGCATGCTCGATACTGCGGGTAAGATTCTCGAGCGTATCATTCACCAGAGGATAGAAGCTGCAGTGGAACCCGTGCTTGCCAGAAATCAGTATGGTTTCAGGAAAAGCCGATCCACACTCGATGCCATCAACCTTGTCGTCGAAACCGCGAGGGAAGCGATTGCAGGGGAACGATGGCTCAATGGCACCAAGGAGTACTGTTTAGTAGTGACACTGGATATCAAGAATGCCTTCAATTCAGACAGGTGGGACTGCATTATGGAGGCTCTTGACAAACTGGAAGTACCAGGATACCTGCAGAGAATGGTCAACAGCTATTTCAGCGGAAGGGTCCTTAAGTACGACACAGAGTCCGGCCCCAGGAAGTAAAAGGTGACAGGAGGAGTACCCCAAAGGTATGGTGGGGCTATGCCCCCAAGGGTATAGTGCGGATGACGTGGCGGTGGTCATTGTTAGGAAGCACCTGGAGGACATAAAGCGTGTTTTCAGCACAACGTTCGAGACGATCCGCTGCTGGATGGATTCTGTTCGATTGAACCTAGCAGAACAGAAGACAGAAGCCGTATTGATCACCAGCAGGGAGAAGATCGAGACCATCACGCTGAAAGTCGGGNTGGATGGATTCTGTTCGATTGAACCTAGCAGAACAGAAGACAGAAGCCGTATTGATCACCAGCAGGAAGAAGATCGAGACGATCACGCTGAAAGTCGGGTCTTGTGAAATCATCTCCCAGCCATTCATTCAATACCTGTGGTGATGATTGATGCACGACTGAACTTCAAGCAGCAAGCCGAGCACGTGGGGACCAAGGCATCTGGTGTGAAAT